TAAATATGTCTTTAAAAATTCACTTTCTCCACTCACATTTGAGCTTTTTTCCGGCAAATCTTGGCGACGAAAGTGATGAACATGGCGAAAGGTTTCATCAGCAAATGAAATTAATTGAGAATCGATATCAAGGATTCTGGGACGTCGCAATGATGGGTGATTACTGCTGGTTTCTCATAAGAGAAACCGATCCTAAACTGAATAAGCGTCAAAGTAGAACACATAATTATTTCGACAACATAGTAAAATCAAATTAAGATAAAGATTGTTAGAATATAGTATAAACATAAATAAATTTAAAAAAAAAGTTAAAAATATGGGTAATTTCATTCATAAATTGAACTTTTAACTCAATAGAAACAGAGCATAGCTAGATATTTCACTCTTCTTTATACCATACATACGTTTTGAGGTATACGTTGAAATTGCGCAACCTGGGTATTTTTATTTGATCGCTTATAACTTACGTAGTTTTGCATCGATTTTCTTCGGTGATAGCTTATTTTTTTGTAATATAACAGAGCTTAGGGAGAAAAAAAAAATCTGCAAAAAAATAAAAGGTTTTCGAGATCCTTCCCCGCAAAGTACAATTTTTTTTATATTTTTACAAAAAAAATTGAAAAAATCGGTAATGATTGTTCTTTATCTTTGAATCTACAGGGCCTAGCAAAAAGTGTTGTATGCGCAGCTTATAGAAAATTTTATTACCTTTTAAAAGCTTCAAACCGTTTTGGAATTGCTTAATTCGTTCTTGAGATATATATGATTAAGTGGACCCAGTTTTTTTTTTTTTGCAAAAACGGTAAATTGCAAATATCTCAAAAACGGTACCATAAAATTAAAAATAACCTTGATTTTCGGAATCAGGGGGTGATTTTACATACAAATTTCATAACGGCGTCTCTGGTAAATTTTTGCCGTCGACCAGTGTAATTTTACCGAGTTTGGTACAAATTGTTCGAACTGTGGCCATAAGTGGGCGGCGCCACTCGCATTTTGCAAAATTTTATCATGAACGTATTTTTTGGTAAAGAATTATTGCAAACATAAATTTTGAATAAATTAGCTTTGGTATTTACTGATTTATCGAAAACTTCGTATTTCTCTAAATTACCGTTATGTGGGATGTGACCAAGCTGTATTAAACAAGGTGTGATTGGCAACTCAGTGCGGCTCTCTTTTAAGGTACTATAATGTCAAAAAGTATAAACAAACGAATTAACCCTTAGTGATGCATGTATCTTATCAGCACTGATGCCCTAGGCTTTTATTTCGATTATAGTTTTGTTTTACTTACATTACTTACATCACATATATTTTGTCAATAAAATAAAACAAATTGTTTATATAATCGTTTTAGCAATTTTCTTGTTTTTAATTGCCCAAGTTTTATGCTTTTGTGCGTTTATTTTTATATTTCAATTTTTTATCCTAAACATTATTTGACACTTATAAAAGTATGATTTTCCATTTTTTACCAATTTTATACGTGAGCTTAACTCTATCAATTTTGAAATTAATTTTTTTTCATACGAAATAGTTTTCCATTAAAGACCTTGCTTCGAGCGGTTTTAATTTAAGCTCTTCCATACTTGCTTGCATGGTTTAATTATTCCGGTAAGCCGAAATATTTCTGTTCGCAACGTGCATTCTAAAAAGTCGTCTGTTTGAGTTTGGGCATCAACAAAAATGTATCCTGATCGCGTACTAAAACCTCACTTGTATCAGTTATTTCGTATGGCATTGGGACTGCGCATGGGTATAAACGAGCTTGTTGGAAAGTGTTTGATTTGGACATCACTTTCCTTGAAGTGGTTTTCACAAACGCGAGATGAATCACGTAGTACTACAGCACAGCTTTCTTCCCATCGCTGCCGTCTTAATTCGCAACTAGGTGGTTTAAAACATCGCACTATTTTCGTGTCCTGACTTTTATCGCATACAGCGCACCGTTCAAACATTTTGCTCCGTTTCATCTTGGTTTCCTTACATTAAATATTTAAGCAAAGTCGAACGTATTTACTTATTACCAAACTTAAATGTACTTACTTGCTCTTCTCGGCGGTTTATCTCTTAACAATTTCACGTTTATTAAGAAAATTTGNTTTGAAAAAAACACATTTTAAAATGGGTTAACAATTAATTTCAATTTGACGTTATAGCCTGTTTCTTATGAGAGCAATGTCAAAATCAATCACACTTTGTTGAATACATTTTGGATGTGACCTATCCTTACCTATAGTCCCATTTTAAAATGTTTCAGCCGTTTGGTATGTTTTACCAAGAGCAACATTTGTGCCAAGTTTGGGAGAAATTGGTGGAGCGGTTACCAAGTTATACACATGTATTCATAAGTGGGCGTGGCTAAGCCCATTTTCAAAGAATTTATAATACTCTTATTTTTCGTTTAAAAATCTTTGTAAATATCAATTTTGAATGAACGAGTTTCAGTAATTACTAAAATATCGCAGTTTGCGTATTTCTGAAAACTACCGTTATATGAGAGTTAGGCCTGGTTATTGTCCGATTTTGCCCATTTTCAATACCGTCCGTCCTACGCTGAAAAGTAGTAAACATACCATGTTCCGTTAAGATATCGAGTCGTGTGCGCAAAAAAGACGTATGAGCCAAAAAGTAAATTGTTCAGGAGACGGTTTTTTTTGAATATCTTTGCATCCAGCTTATATATTGTCATGAAATTTGGTAAGTAACTTTATTTAGTTCTCTTGTATATAATGCAATAAATAGAATTTTAATATTCGTAGCATAAGGGTAGGTTTTGGCTCATACGTCTTTTTTGCCTGCACAAAATCAAGCTACTGTCTGATGATTTGGCTGTTACATCAAAATTTTTTTTCACATATGTTTATTTTTTTTTATTTTGTACTTCAGATTATTTATTTTTACTCACATATATATCTAAAATTAAGTTAAATTCATGTAAAATTAAGTCTTTTAAGTTAAATTCATTGGTTTTCATAAAAAAAAAATTTAAAAAGTTTAAAATTAAGTAAAATTATGTTTAAAACAAGGGAATTAAATCTATCAATATCAGTCTTCCTCTTGATCTGTCTCAGGAAGGCGATCCTTGACGTTCTCATCGTGTTGCATATTTAAATACTCGTTGTGAAAATGTCGAGGTATTGTGTTATTTTCGCAAAGTTTTTTTAAATCTTTGTACTTCGTCGATGAAATTTCCAATTTATTCTTATACAGAGGAAGTGGTCCACTTGTTATTATATGAGTGTTGCGTCTTGACCGTGCGATGGAGTCCATATTAAAATTTTTAATTTCGGAATGATCACCGTATCCATGGTTAAGCTTAATAATAGGATTATTTTTCTCAAATGTTGCTGAGCGCAAGGTTGGAAACGATAATTTTTTTGAATTGGGGAACAGTGCCTGTGAGTATGTTTTCCAGTCTTTGAAGTCCCAATGATTCATGATAATACATTCATAATTAACAGGATTTGTTCTAGCGTTAGATATCATAGTGTACCATTCACTTGGAGCCCAAACGGTCCTATCTCGGACAAATGATTCGATAGTACTATGAATGGAATCAACGGGCATCATAGTATGTCCAGGTAATAAATATGTTACTCGTATATTGTTGATAAAATTTGAGTTTTCAAGGAAATATAATATCATAGCTAGCAAAGCTCTATTGCGATTTTGTCCCGCACAACTATCACAGTACAGGCTAATTGAAGAGTACGTGCTTCTTTCATC